TATACAACATCTCACAGAAAATCTTTATCAAATCTGCGTCTCCTGCAGTCATTGTGACTACTGATGCCTCATAGGTAAAGTTTCAGAAAATGTATGTGATTTAAAAACCCCAAAGTATCTGGAACTATCCTGGTATGGGGTTCTGGTTTGAAATAAGACAGTAAATGCTGAAATTCATGTCTAGTAATGACAACTTGATCATGAAACATCTTACACAGAATATCCTCAGCAAATCAGAGAGCACTGGGGAAGTTGAAGAAAGCATTTTGAAAAGCTAAGCTGAAATCTGTTTCTGTGGTGGAAACCGGTGAAATAATGTTTAGAAAGTAGTTTCAAGTTTGTGTTTCAATTTCTCTGTAAAAATGATAGCCTCGTGCTCCTTGTGCTGTTTAACATTTTCCCCTCGTATATTTTGTACTTTTCAAAAAATATTATTTCTTACTAACTCCATTATTCCCTCTTGGGAACCTTTCCCTCCAGCTCTCAGCTATCTCTCTCATACCTTTAGTTTAGAAAAGACCAACCCATCCTACAAAGGAGATTGCTACAAAAGGCAAATCAGAAAACAACCCCAGAATGCCTTATGGCCCTCAGTCATCTTCCAGTGCTGCTTTGCTGGGAGCTCCAAATCCTTTGCCTCCTTGCAGGGTCAGCTGCTAAGGGCCAGGATGTCCAAATCCACATCCCAGGACATTGTGCATGGCTACCCTACCCCATGCCCTGCAGGTGGAGCCCAGGTTCTCCCTCCCTTAGGCAGATATAGAGGTGCCACCTGGATGCTCAGAGGATATGCATGAGCTGTTGTGGTAGCCAGGTGCAAAAGGCACGTCTGGATCTCCTACTGGAGGTGACATTCATGTCCTGCTGGTCTGAGCCATGAGGGGCTCCTAAGGCCACTCACTAGATCTGTGTTTTCTCATACACCTCACAGAGAACATCAAAGGCTTGTCTTTAGTCCAGTCTAATCTTTAGGCAGAGTCTACCAATACTTCTGTGGATAAGCTGGATGCTTCTCTGCTGTCATCTCCTGATACATCTTTGGATTTGGAAGTCTATCCTGACTCTTCCTCCTGTGTTGGAGGTGAGTCCTGCTCCTTAGGGTCTCATGGTGAAAGACTGCAGTGAGGATGGAGCCTTGTGCCTTGTTACTGAGGCAGGCTGACCTCCCCAGCTAGTGGTCGTTGCTGCTTTGGCTTTGCTACAGGCTCTTTCAGTTGTTTCCCTCCCACCTGGTGCTGGTTGGTATGTGCCAAGAGACACATTCAAGCTGAGGTCTCTCACTAGAAGTGGCTCTTGTGGTGAGCTATTTGAAATCTGTGGACCTGTGAATACTGTTTCCATTTTTTAATGACTACAGAAGACACCTTGGGACTCCATTCTGCTTTTGGAATGAAAGTGAGCTATGGGTTTGCATGGGTGTCAGCATTACAAATGAGGCTATTATGGGTACTGCTGTGTTTCTGAATACATGCTGTTGGTGGAGGTGCTAGTGAGAGACCTGACAGTGTGGGCCAAGCTGTGCAGCCTTATGGCATGTGTGTTGGCAGCCCTTGGCAACTGGCAGGAGTGGGCTCTCTACATATGGGTCAGGCAGATAATGTGAGGGATGGCTATGCTTCTAAAACTACATCCCTCAATATCTGAGTTCCCTGGAGGGGACTTGAAGAGCTAGAAAGAGCTAGTGGCAGAGAAAGTGACCTCTAGAGCCCGGTCCTGGATACCATGACAGTGTAGGTGCAGCCAGAAATTGTTGGGAAATGTTTCCAAGGACGAGGCTGACACTGATTTACTGATTTTGCATATTAGAAGCTTTTAAAACCTGCTGGTTTGGCATAGAGAAGAATCACAGGATTATGTTCCTGAGAGTCCAGGATCAAAAAGGAAAACTGTGCTTATCAGCTGGACTTGAAGCAGGAATTTTTAATTTATGGTGTTTTGTATTTAAAACTACACTAAGCCTGCAGACCTCAATATTGCATAATTCGCTTCCATGCTCAGGAAATTTGTTCTGAACTTTGGCTTCAGGAGATTACTGTATGAACTTTACTGCAAATTTAATTATTGCCTAACTTATTTCTTTCTACACACAGATTTCACTATTGAGAATAGAAGATGTAGACCATGGAATCCTGAGACTTTACGTCCCAAATTACCACATATTTTGAGATGCAGTTCGGTAGAAAGACTGTCCCCAAGTGGGGTAGAGAAAACTTGTCTGACGCCTGTATTTGACCTTGCAAGCAATCCCATTTGTAGCAAGTTGTTTCATTGCAACTCCTCTAAACTTTTCTAATCTTCCCCTCCCTCATATGGACATCCCTGACCTTCCCACTTAGCCTCCCTTCCAAACAGCCTCTCTTTCTTCATATACTTCATGTCCAAAAAGTTCTTCCACCAAACCCAGGAGAACAAAATGCTGGAGTGCTGCAGATGCATTGTAAGAGAGGTGGAAAAGATGGGCTCCCACCAAGGTGAGCAGGGTGGGCTCCCATCATCCTCAGCTGGCTGGCAGCTGTGAAAATAGCCCCTGGAGTCATGGAGCCATTACCCTTTCGTAACTCTGACTCACTGAAGGTGACCAGGGCCAGGATACACAGTGCTACTGCCAGCTTTCCTCTATGTCCCACCCTTGTTCTATGGACTCAAGGGTAAACTCTGTATTTGGGGAAAATAAAAAGAATGGAGCCTTCTGAATCCCTAAAGGAACCTGGCAGGAAGATTGAGAGGCACAGAGGTGGCCGCGTCCAAACTTCCCTGTAAACAAATGATTTTGGAGAGGTAAAAATTTCCACAGTTTTATGTACTATCCTGAAGGTGCTGGAAATCCCTAATTCATCCTGATGGGGACATTAAAGGACTGCATGAAGCGACACAAAATAATTCAGAATTTTCCCAGAAATTCTGGCACTTGTAAAACTGTGCTTGGCAATTATGTGCTTTTTTTTTTTTTTCATATGAAACCAGCTGCCAACTGAGAGACTGTTGGCTGCTGTGTTACATGTGTTACATTTACAAAGCTATTTTATAAGGTGACAGGCTGAAAAACCGTTTGCAAATGCAAGTTGATCTTGAAAGTATTTTTTGCATCTGTGTCTATGAGAAGTTCTGTAGAATGAGACACATTAAGTGTAACTGACACAGATCATGTTCTTAATGTGCCACTGACCTCTTAGTGCACTCTGAAGGTCTGAAGATAAAGCAAAGGTAGGATGGACTTAATGGGTGCTAGAAAGCTAGTTCAGTCATGACAGTAAGGCTTGTCAGGTTAAGAACTGCTTAAACCTAGATGATCTGAATGAAGCAGAGTTGGTTATAAATACTCTTCTGAATGCAAATGTGTTTCCAGTTTGGGATATGGATTTGGGTGCTCTGCTTCAAAAGGGAAAGCAAAAGCTGCAGATGGTGTTATTTTTTTTTTTTTTAAATTAAAATACATTTTCATGAGAAATACTGCTGGTTCCAAGTCATTGAGAAATTTTCTTTCTGATCAACACTTTCTGTATTTTTTACAGGGCTTATCCGCTGAAAAATAAGCCTGAATAGGAAAGGCAGCCCAAGGCGACCCAGACACATGCTGCTGCAGAGGGGAGCAGACGTGCCAGCTCAGAGAAGGTGGCAAAGGAGGTGAGGGTTAGCTGGCTGCAGAAAGAGGGAGCGCGCTCTGCCCTGCTGCTGGCAGGGCACTGGCCAAGGATGTGGGAGCCGCCCTCAGACACCACTAAATGTGCAGCTGCCCCAACAGAGAGTTTGGTCCAAAATGTTTGCCGAGCCCAGAGCAAATACTGGGGTAGCTAACCCATGAGTGCCATGCTGTCAGGACTGCCCACTTCTGATACCTCCCAAATGGTCAGCTATACCCACAGACTGCAGGTCAGATCTATCCACACAGACTGCAATCTCAGCTGGCCAGTATAGCTACCCCATAGATGCCTTAGGAGCCTACATAATTTCAGTAGATCCCCAACTTGTCTGTGGGCCACAGCACTGGAAGAAAAGCTCATCAGTTATACATGCTCCTGTTTTATCTGCAGCAAGTCCCTTCAGATCCCACTTTTTGCGGCAGCTTGCTTTCCGCAGGGCGTTATCGGGAGTAAAAAGGCAGTCTTGCTGCTCCCGTCTGTAGCGCTGGCAGCAGTGCCTGCAGCCCCTTCGGGTCGGGTGCTAAAAGATTTCACATGAAGGCTGTTACGAGCCAGACAGACAGAGTTTAATTTACTAATAGAGATACAATCTAAATGGCTACAGATTTTCTGAGCACTTCGGCACCTCTCTCAGGCTCTTCTGCGGCAGGGAGAGGCGGCGCAGCCTCTGAAGCATTCACCCAAGTTTTCCAAGTGTGAAATGTGCAGCAAATAAAGGAACGGGGATGCAAAAGAATGGCAGCTGCTCTAGGACTGTTAGAGAGGCTCTTTTACAGGCGAATGAACTGTCAATTTGTAGTAAGACATTGTTTTCTAAACATAGCATAAAAACTGTTATCTTGCCTGGCTGGTCATTAGAAGAGAGATAATTATAGTCTCTGTGTGACAGCCGGGCCCAGAACAGGGGCTGTATTGTCCCAGGTCCCAGCTGAGCTCTAGCACAGGCACCCCAGGCCAGCGGTGGGACAAGGGGGTCCTTGTGCCCCGGCAAGTTCAAAAGAGGAATTGAAGTGCTCTAAGTAGGTGTTAAGCACCTATTTCTCTCTCTGACTCTGGCCTTAAAAACTGCTCCACAGCAGAAAGGTGAGGAGGGCAGACCTCTGACTGCAGTAGCTACATCCTCCTTGGCTTTATGTACAACGCACACTATGACTATTACTTTTGTCTCCCTAAAAAAATAAAAACCAAACAACCACCACCAACAAAAAAACCCCACACCACCACCCCCCCCCAAAAAAAAAAACCCCAACAACCAAACAAAAAACCAAACAAAACCCAAGCAAACCCCCAAAACAAAAAACCCAACAAAACTTTAGTTTTGCATTTATTTTTGTTTTGTTCTGTGTTTCTGTTTTCCAGCACTGCTCCATGAGACCTGTATGGTGGATGGACTTTCCGAAGCAAGGACATATCATCTGTTCAGTATCCGCTTTCTGAGCCCTGAATGGGAGGTCTAAACCTCAGCTGATGCTGCAGCGTGCTGGAGGAGTCCTGGTGGTCTCAGAGCTTCAGGCAGCCAGAACATCCCCTAGGGCTGTCAGGAAATCCTGGACTATTGTTTTTTACCACCATACAGAAAAAGACTGTGCGTCTCTACCCCACTGTAATGTGGCAACACGCACCTCACTGTTCTGGTACCTGCCCATGCCAGTCCCTCTGTTCTGGGAGTTCATATCTAGGAGTGTCACAGCACTTTTTCCTATGTGCTTAGCTTCAAGTCATTGGAGGAGAAATACAGTCATAGCTGCAGATAGTAAATTAAGCTATCACTTTTATTGCTCATTTCAGCCAGGTGCCTTGAATGACTTACCTGTCATCATTTAGGAGATTTCTGGTGAAACAGAGATTTGAACATGCATGTCCTGAGCCGTGGACGAACATGTAAAGCTACTGGGCAGTGTTTTGTGTCTAGAGCTTTATTTGTGGCTCAGAGGTGAAAAGCAAAAAATTAAAAGTCTTTGATACCACTGTTACATAAACTTCAGATTTATTTTTAGCAATGTTTTCTAAAAAGGAATGGCCAGAAATAATAAATCTGTCGTTTTACATAAGGTAATGAGCCTGTTTTCTCAGATTCTGTGTTCACACTGTGGCTCAGGCAGTTCCCTTTTAGAAATATTCCAATTAATCATGTTTGACAAAAGGGAGTGTAAAGATTAGTTTCCTACTACTTCTGTGAAAGTAAGTAGCTGGTTGAAGAGGAAACATCTTTTTAATGTCCCCATTAAAGGAAAGACTTCAACAGGATCTCATTCTTATTAGACACAAGAGAAGCTGCATGGGGTATCATCTTTCTTGCATCCTAAATGTGAGGAAACCTGGTTTAGCCAGTGAAACTACTTGGTTCAATCAACTAGTGGTAAGTCATGTGTAAGAACACTACTAGGGAAAGAAGTGAGCAAGTTAAGAACATAACATTCCTACTACAGGTGGAAACACAAACCAATATTCAATTATATTGGCAGGACAATCAAAGTTTCTTTTAAAAAAGTATTCTGTATGTCTTGAATAACAGAAAGACAGGAAGTCACTTCTGTCATCCCAGTGACAACAGCCCCAACAACATGAAAGATTAGATAAAATATGCAAGCAGAGTAAGTATTTTTAAAATAAGATACTAACTTAATATTGAAAAGTATTGTGCCTGTGTAATGCAGTTATTTTTGCTTGAGTTCCCTTTGCATCTCTGAAAGAGACCAGTCTTACAGCCATGGCTGTCATTCAAGTGATGAACTGAATAAAGTGTGAAGAATGTGGTACCACAGATACAGAAAAATACAGATATTCTTTGACCATAGTCAAATGCAAGGTGTTTTTAACTTTAGGATGTATACGGTAAAATACAAGCTATAAATATATATGACTCCATTGCTGTTCTCAGTCAAATGTATTTTAAAAGACTTCTAAACTACTTTTTCTCCGTGTGTGCTTGCTTGTTTTTGGTGTCTTGTTTAAATTTTGGAGAGGTTAGAGGAAAAGGAGTGTTCTCCAAGGAGGATCTGCCTCTGTAATCTGTAATTCTTTTTTTGCTCTGGATGTGGTGTAATTCCCATAAACTCTAGGAACAAAATATTAACTAGGGTTGAAAGTTTGCTTGGGGCATTTGGTTCATGTTCATACTAGTCTGAGAGAAATCACATTTTGAAGAGACTTACCGAGACTCTAATCTCTCCGCAGAGAGCTGAATGACTGTGGCAGGCTTGACAATGCTATTCATTTTTGGAGCCTCACCAGCAAAACAAGCACTCAGCACAAAAGGATATATAGTGTCTAGGCTACTGTACTATTCATACATCTGTATCTATCCATCTAGCAAGGGACTTCACACCATATAAATACATATCACTGGAATAATACCATTTTCCATTCTGTATCTTGGAGATTAGTGTTTCCCAGTGTCAGGTAGTGCTAATTAGTGATACAACACACACCTTTCTATAGATCAAAGACACAAAGTCTTGAAAGCAAAACTGTTTTAAATGTAGGGAACAGGTTGCATTACCTATTACACGCTGTATGAACAATAGGCAGATATATGTCTAGTGGTGTGTGACTAATATACACCATTCTTTCTCAAATAGTTAAGCCCTTGCTGTTCAGGCAGTGAGTACATGTGTCCACTTTAACAGTAGGGGTTTAATGTTTTTATAAATACTTAATGAAGTATATATAATTCAAAGTACAGTTTCATTCTACATCTATGTCTTCATCTTCTTAGGTCCTTGATCCTATGCACACAGCTGGAATGTTAAACAAAAAATTATGTCCCTACAGTTTCTTAGAAGTGAAAATATTTAACTATTATCAACAGGCAAAAAAGCAACTCCCTTCTCTCCCCCATAAATAAATATAGCAGAGAAATGACATCAGAATTACCTTGCTTGAGGTGTGCAACTTTTTATTCCTTTTCTCCACACAGTATGAAAGTGCTATTTTTTCCAAGCTTTTCTGTACCCCAAACTCCAGCCAACATTATTCTACAGAAGGAGAGGCAGGCAGCGGAGGGAGGCCTGGACACCTTTTCTCTTTCAGAGAGGAGCTAATCAAACATTCCCATCAAGCTCCTAGCTCTGTGAAAGGCACATTACTCTCTCTCCCTCCTGCATACCCAGACATACAGAGCTCCTTACATTCATTTAGCAGCCGAATTAGGCAGTCCTATTTTAAATACATGTTCCCTCCCACATATTTTTGGTAGGGATTTCTATGCTCCTTTTACACTAGCCTGTCAGATTTGTCAAGTTTTTCTCTTTTGGGAAGCAAAGCTTTACTCAACTGATGTTTTGGCTAAATTTTTTTCGGTCTCCCTGTGCAGTTCAGCATTGTAGTAAATGGACTACAACTAGTAGCTGGGAGTAAACTACACAGCTCTAAAGAGTATAAATACCAGACTAGTTAGGTGCAAGTCAGACTTAAAGAGGAAAAACAGCTTTTGAAGAGACAGGCTGTGATGCCTTTACTCATGTGAATAGAATTATATTCCCTCAGCAGTTTCCCCGAAGTCAGAGGATCAGTGACAGAGCAAGTCTGTGAGACTGGGCACAGAGAAGTAGAAGTATGACATGAGGGTTAGCATGGACTTCTTTCTGATGAAGTTGGGTGCAGGAGTTTAATAAAATGCTCTTAAAGACTTTTAAATCAGCACTCATTAAGTGTGAGCTGGCCAAATTAGATACACAAAATGACGTAATTTTTTAAAGTATCTGTACACAGATGTCCTAAAATTCTTGGGTAACTTTAAGAAGAAAATGCTATTGAGACAATCAAGATCACAGCATTTACAAGATTATCAAAGAAAGGGCTGGTATCATGTTCCAGGATGCTGGAATGCAACTATAATCTGCAGTTCCAGAAACTATAATCTGCAGTTCCACTTGAGTATTCAGAAAGTGTATAGGTAACATATATGAGTGAACATAATCTGTTTTATCTACGATCATTATTGGTGAAAAAAAATTCTAGTATGAATATGGGAGATAATTTAGTTCAAAAGACACAATGGAAAGACCGGTAGTTCTTGGCTAGTTCTGATCTAACAGTCCTGTAAATTAGTTTGATTTAAGGGAAAGTGATTATCTGGGTTTAAGTGAAAGTGATTACCTGTTATTTGTGAATCTCTACTTCAGTACTTAAAGAAACTGTGTAACAGCTCAGAATATCAATAAACAATGCAATAACAAAAGTTTATCAAGAAGTCCTAACTGTGTTACTAAGACATAACAACCCATAATTCATTTGATTCTCTTAATACAGAAGTTTAGGCTTGCCGTGGTAAACCCTTGTGAGACGAAATGCAGTGGACTGGCGGAAAGACTCTCCAGACAGAAAATCTGTTAACAGATCTACCTAGAAGATCTACTAAAAAAAAAACCCACCCGGAAGTCTTATTAATTCAAGGTAACACTTTCAGAATATCAACACCCTTTTCATATGGTTTTGTGAGGTTTATTTATTCAGATAATCATGGGCAAAAGGACTGAGACCTTAGGATTGGAAGTTTAGAGGTGGAGATGTACTAGTGGTCAAACACCTAAGGGTTTTTCAGCTAAGCGGCTATGTGTCATTTCCCTGTGCTAGTGGAAGGCTGAAGTCCCCATGACAACCTTACCTGCAGATGCTGGTAGAAATATTCTAAAATTTTGGGGCACAGACCTTCACTGGTATTTAGCTACTTTTTTTTTTTTTTTTTTTTTTTTTTTTTTTTTCCCATTGAAGTAGATTATTTTCAGAAATCCACAGGCATCTATGTACATGTTGAGGTGCTTGTATGGCTTTCAAGTCTCAGGTGAGTGTGTTATCAAAGAAGCCTCTTGATCTCAAACCAATGTGAGTGAGAATACTGAAGAAAGAGCATCTGGTAAACCAAGATGTGGTTGGATGGCAAAGGTTCAGGCTGTGCCTGCAGACCACATGATAGGACTGTATATAAATGGCTGGACTAGCACGGAGTGGTGGAGCTAAAATGTCAGAAGCAGTGGATGATTGGGATAAACAGCACAGGCAAAAACTCCTCCTAAGGTTCAGCTTCTGATACCTTCATCAGTTCGTTGAGGGGTGTAGCTGTTGGCATGCAAAACATGGCCAGCAAGGTGTCAAACCAACAACAGCACCTACACTGAGATCATGCTTCATTGTTGCTGCTACAGGGTGCTAATTCTACAAAAAGAAACAGCTGATAGATCCATTTCTCATCTTCTGTGGATGGATTATCCAATTTGTGGGTAAATTATATCAAGGGCAAAGAGCCAGCATGGACCTGGCAGGACTTAGCTCAAATGCAGTGGTGTGTGAACACAGCTCTGTTGCTTCCAGAAACCCTGCAGTGGTTCAACCCTGTCCGCACTGTGCCTGCCTAAGCTTTCCCTGCCTGGCCGGCTCCGCTTGGGGCCAAGGATGCTGGCAACAAACTGGCACATTTTTGCATCATTGCCTATGAGCTAACCTGGCATCCTGGGAATGAGCATCCTAGGAACCATGGAGCAGAAACACTGAGTGGGCAGAAAAAGAATAACTATCTAGGTTTGTCATTATCCAGGGTATTCAGCCTCTCATTATTGTGCATAATAAAGAGCTGAAGAGTATCAAAACAAGCCACTGAGGAGGGCAATGTCTGTCTCTTTTTATCACAACACTTCCGAGTGTTGCCGCCTGTGCTCTTTCCTGACAAAATCAATTTCCAGCCACCCAAGAGCTGGCAATGCAAAGTGCAGGAGCAAGGGGCGAACCACATCGTGTGGCTCTACTTCAGTGCTGGGATTTGCCACAGGGAAAGATCTGTTTGCAGGAGAGGTGACTGAGCAGTCAGGAAGTCACTCATTTGAAGGCAATAGGTGTTGAACACAATTTTCTAGGGCATGGACAAGTGTTACGTATCTGTATGTGTTCATGTCTCCCACCATTGCTTCTAACCAGGGGCCTCCTCCACAGTTTTCTGCTAAGTGGTAGTACTGTTTGTGGTGGTATATTTAAAGTTTTACTATACTGCATTTTTGTTTGCTTGTTAGTTAAAGCAGGATTTAACAAGATCTATTGAAAATATTAAATGAATGAATGCGCACCTAGGGCAGGTGACAAATTTGAGGCGATACAGTCCTTACTACCGTGTGACTTAGATATGCACGTACACATACAAACAATGCATATTACAGCCTCACTCCACCACAGCAGCAGCAATTCAGTAACTCTCTTCCGTAAAATATTTTAGCAAAATTGCTGCTCTATTAATTTCCAGGTGGGTAGCACTGACATGCAGAGTAGCTTTGTTTCCACTGTATGATGAAGCCTGAAAGCAAAGAAACACAGATGACTGACCTGTTCCCTGAAAGTCTTAATGAAGCAGCTAATGAACAAGACCAGAGACTCAAAATACTTTGGTTTCAATAAGAGTTTGAGAAGGATCTTCATATTTGAGGAAAATTCAGTCACCACATTAAATTATGATCTACTCATATCAATTTCATTCTGGAAGATAAAAGAGCAGAAAGAGAGAGATAAAATAAGATCTGTGTAAGCAATGTCAGCATGGACAGAGGAGATAATTCAGCCAAGACTAAGTAAGGAGGCTTGTATTTTTTTTCAGAGTTAGCAGCAGACCTGGAAGACCGGACACTTGTTGATGGACCTTAATCACAGACCCTTAAATAAATCTTAATTTTGAGATCATCTGTGTGGTGATTTAGGCCCTGCCGGGACCAGAGACCATGTTGCCGTTGTCCCTACCCCACCCTCAGATCGAGTAGACCACAAATCCCGGGTAAAAATAAGGCGAAATTTAATACAACAGTGTAATAAACAATCTGAACAACAACAATAGCAGTAAAACCAACAATAAACAGCAATAGCAGTAAACAAGATGAAAGATATACAGAGAAATACCGCAGCGAACACATCCAGCCTGCCGCGCATGCTCCCCGTGACCAAAGCCACAAAGGAAAGCTTCCCGCACTACCGCGCCAGACCTGACATCAGCCTGGAGATCCCTTCCCCAATCTCTGCTAGGGAAACTTCACTCTATCCTAGCTGAACCAGGACAATCTGTCATGCAAAATTTTCAAGGTACACAGTTTTTGTTTGAAAATTATTGCTTTGGGTAACAGCTGAGTAAAGGCCATGTTGAGTAACAGATGAAATCTGACCTCACTGAGGGGAAGCTCACCACATGTAATCTAATCCTCATTACAAATCTGACTTCAACATTTATTAACAAAGCTTTTGTTGATAATATAATCAGTGGGCTTACGTGTTTCGTCTGACACAGAAATGTAAGATCTCTCATGTTTCCCTCCCTCTGCATGCAGTGATGCACAGGTAAGTGAAATAGGGGAAATGTCACCTATGAAATGGCAAATAAATTTGTGTGTTTTGGGTTTGACGCTGACCAACTGGTATGGCCCCTGAGCTAAGGGCAGGCAACAACATGACCATGTCCAACTGTTAGGTCACCATCAAGTGTAGTTTTACACTCAGGTGTCCGAATTCAGTCTAAGATCATTACTGACTTGTCCCATAATCTTTTGATCATAGTTGGACTTTTTGTAGTGATTTACATGAATAGGTCAAAGTTTTGTATAAAGAGGAAGAGAGGAAGTTTTTACCATATAATACATTCACACAGCACCTCAACATGTAAGTGGGAGCAGAAGGTAGTGGCTTCAAAGGCCATAAATAGTTTTCAAAAGGTTTGTGCAAGGTGATGACAGGTATACACATTCTGTTAAGCATGTGTGCTGCAGCATAAGCCATCCTGCTTATCTCCCCAACACTCAGGAGGGACTCCTGACTCCACCAACATAGGCATAGGCAGAGAAAATTATCTTCATCTATGTTACAGAACAAGATAAATCTGAAAAATTTTTAGAGAAATCTGACTTTAGGATGGGAAATTTTTAGGGTTAAAGTGCAGAGTCTCCCACATACTGTGTCTTTGTTCCACTCGTGGGACCTAAGGTGCATGCTGCTCTTCTGGCATGGGGCTGTAAGTCACACTTCTGAAACCGTGAGATCATTTGCTCTCCAGGCAGTGAGTAGGACACGTATAAGGAATCAAAGTGATCCAGGGCTGAGCTAACTGGCCTGTGATAATTACACAGAAACTG